CACTCCCCCTCACTGAGCCAGTCCCGAACCTTGGGGTTTTGTTTGACCCTCAACTATCCTTTCTACCCCACATCTGCGCCATGACCCGCTCTGCCTTCCCCACCTCCACATCACCCGGCTCCGCCACTGTCTCATACCGCAGGCTGCCAAAACCCTCATACACGCCTTCATTACATCCAGGCTTGACTATGCAAACTCTTTGCTTGTCGGCCTCCCCAACTCCTCCCTCCAGAACTCTGCAGCCCATGTCCTCTCTCCCACCAGGCTCCGTGACCCTATCACTCCCATCCTCGCCCAACTCCACTGGCTTCCCACCACATAAACATACCATAACATGGAGGAGCAGGAGTAGGCCATTCAGCCCTTGGAGCCTGCCCCGCCATTCAATCATGGCTGATCTTCTAATCTAACTCCAGCTAATAACCTGACGCTGCCTTATCCCCATATCCCTTAATCCCTTTTGCAGTAAGAAATCTATCTATCTCAGTCTTGAATATGTTCAAGGACCGAGCGTCAACAGCCCTTTAGGGTAGTGAGTTCCATACACTCACTGCCATTTGAGTGAAGAAGTTCTTCCTCAACTCAGTGCGAAAGGGCTGCCTCTGATTTTCAGGTTGTGACCCCTGGTTTTAGTTTCTCCAACCGGGGAAACAATCTCCCACTATCTACTCTATCATGCCCTTTGATGATCTTATAGGTTTCTATAAGATCCCCTCTAATTCTTCTATATTCTAAAGAATATCGGCCCAAATTGGTCATCCTATCCTCATAACTCATCCCCTCCATCCCTGGCACTAACAGAGTAAATCTACGCTGCACCCCCTCCAAGGCAAGTACATCCTTCCTTAAATAAGGAGACCAAAACTGCACACAGTATTCCAGGTGTGGTCTCACCAGGGCCCTATACAGTTGCAGTAAGACTTCCCTACTCTTATACTGTAATCCTTTCACAATGAATGCTAACATACCGTTCATCTTCCTAATTGCTGCTGCACCTGCAGACTAACTTTCTGTGATTGGTGTACAAGGACACCCACGTTCCATTCTCTCCCCTTCTAAAAAATAAGCCGCTCTACTGTTTTGCTACCCAGATGGATGACTTCGCACTTCCCTACATTATACTTCATCTGCCACCTACCTGCCCAATCACCTATCTATGTCGCGCTGCATTATTTTAATGTCGTCCTCTTTGGCACTTCCTCCTAATTTTGTCATCCTCGAATTTAGATATATTAACTGCGATGTCCTCATCTAGATCGTTGATGTAGATGGTAAATAGCTGAGGCCCAAGGACTGATCCTTGTGGTACTCCACTATCACATCCCGCCAATCTGAAATGGACCCGTTTATCCCTACTCTTTGTTTCCTACCCGTTAACCATTCCCCAATCCACGGTAATATGCTCCCCCCCAATTCCATGGGCCCTTATCTTTTGGACTAACCTTTTATGCGGCACCTTATTGAATGCCTTCTGGAAGTCCAAATAGACCACATCCACTGATTCACCCTTATCTACTTTACTGGAAATATCCTCAAAAAGCTCTCTGAGGTTTGTCAAACATGACTTCCCTTTTGTAAAGCCATGTTGACTTGGCCTAATTATATTGTGCCCTAAATACCGCACTACCACATCCTTAATCAACGATTCTAAAATTTTTCCTATCACTGATGTGAGACTAACTGCCTATAGTTCCCCATCTTTTCCTTTCCACCTTTTTTAAATAGTGGTGTGACATTTGCGATCTTCCAATCCATGGGGACTGTTCCAGAATCCAAGGAATTTTGGAAGATCAGACACAAGGCCTCCACTATCTCATAAGCTCCTCTTTTAAAACCCTGGGATGCAAACCATCCGGACCAGGGGATTTGTCACTTTTTAGTGCTAACAGTTTCCCGAGCACCAATTCTCTACTAATGAAAATTTCCCTAAGTTGCTCCCTGTCCTTATCCCTTTGGTGCATCTTTATTGCTGGTAGACTGGTTGTGTCTTCTACGGTGAAGACAGATGCAAAGTACCCATTTAGGGCCTCTGCCGTGTCCTTATCCCCCATTACAACTTCTCCCGTCTCTGACTGTAGTGGACCTACATTTACCCTCACAGCCTATTCCCCTACCCCTCGTTAACATATTCCTATTATCTGGCAGAGGATACAGTTCAAGATCCTGGTCCTCACCTTGATAGCCCTCCGTGGTCTCATTCCCCTCTACCTCTGCGACCTCCTAACCCCCTACCACCCTGCTCGCTTCCTCCGCTCACCGGGCTCCAGCCTGCTTCACATTCCCCGCCTCGTACGCCCCACTAGTGGGCCTTCAGCCACTCTTCCCCCACCCTCTGGAACTCCATCCCGCAGTCCCTCTGCCTCACCCTCTCCCTTGCCACCTTCAAGACCCATCTCAAGACCCCCCCTTTCCCCCTGCCCTCCACCCTCCCCAATCCCAACTCCTAGCTCCATTCCGAAACACTGACAGTCCAGCTCCTTGGGACGTCCTCCCGACGTGAAAGGCGCTATACAAATGTAATTTTTTTGTTGTTGTTGTCACCTGCAGATGTAAGGTCAACTTCCACATTTTTGTTGATGACAACAAATCTACTTTTCGTCCTCTATAGCTGTGATCTCAGGTTCACCGATGTCTGTCGTCTTTCTTGTCAGACACCAAAGCCTGGATGAGCACCAATTTTCTGCAGCTGAATGTTGATAAAACAAAAGCCTTATTCCTTGGCTCTCATCAAAGTCTTTTCGCTTATGGCTCTGACCTTAATCTTCCCAGCCAATCCCTCAGACTCACTGAACTAGTGCACAACCTTGGAGTCAGGTTCGAATCCCAGTTGTTCTTCCTACCCGACATCCAGTCCCTGACCAGGGCTACTTTCCTCCACTTCTGCCACATCGCCTGCCTCACACCCAAAGCTGCTGAAACCCTGAGCACGCATTTGTCACCTCACACCACCTCCTCAGTTGTTCCAGTTCCACCATTAATAAAATCCAATTAATTAAAAACTTTGACGCCTATACCTTCAACTGCACCAAATTCTGCACACCCATCACTCTGCACAGCCAGACTCCACTGGCTTCCTTTTGTAGAACGGATCAACTTCAAGATCCTACCATTGGCGTCTATGCTTTCAGCCAATGTGCCCCCAAACTGTGGAACTCTCTGCCTCAATCCCTTTGCCTTCTCCTTGCCCATCTTTAGATCATGCCTGAAGACTTTCATCTATAACCGTGCCTACAGTTACCTCCCCACTGCCCTCTCCCCCGGCTTAGTGTCAGGCTCCACCACTGTTAGCATTTTAAGATTCTACTTCTTCATGTTGTTTTGGGGGAACTGGCACTGACACAGTTATGATGGAGAAATTGAAGGGGATGAGATTACTGTAGATAGATGCAACGGAGGAACTAGCACCAGCACAGACATGAGGAAAACAGCAGGAGAATTGGATCAGATGTCTATCCAGGTGATCCTGGAATGGAATAGGTGACTTCTCACTGGAACTCCGACAGACCCTTCCAACAATTCATTTTGGCCAAGAGTGACCGCTGTGCCGTGCTGTTGTAGCCTCTTTATCTGATGTTTGGATCCTCGATGCTTTCATTACATCGAGGCTCGACTATGCAAACTCCCTGCTTATCAGCCTCCCCAACTCCTCCCTCCATAGGCTGCAGATCATCCAGAACTCTGCAGACCATGTCCTCTCCCGCACCAGGCTCTGTGACCCCCATCTCCCCCATCCTCACCCAACTCCATTCGCTTCCCATCACATAGAGGATACAGTTCAAGATCCTGGTCCTCACCTTCAAAGCCCTCCATGGTCTTGCTCCCCCCGACCTCTGAGACCTCCTAACCACCTACCATCCTGCTCACTCCTTCCACTCAGCGGGCTCCGGCCTGCTTCACTTCCCCTGCCTCACTCGCCCCACTATTGGCGGGCAGGCCTTCCACCACTCTCTGGAACTCCATCCCGCAGTTCCTCCGCTTTGGCCCCTCCCTCGACTCCTTCAAGACCCATCTCAAGACCCTCCTCTTTGACCATGCTTTCGATCTCCCTGCTTAGAAAAAAAATCTTTTTTATAGAAAGTCTCACTAATATTCTTACAAGTTTGCAGGGCTATGGGGAGAGGGGGGAGTGTGGTTGATCAGGGCTATGGGGAGAGAGCAGGGGAGTGGGGTTGATCAGGGCTATGGGGAGAGGGGGGAGTGGGGTTGATCAGGGCTATGGGGAGAGAGTGGTGGAGTGGGGTTGATCAGGGCTATGGGGAGAGAGTGGGGGGAGTGGGGTTGATCAGGGGTATGGGGAGAGCGCGGTGGAGTGGGGTTGATCAGGGCTATGGGGAGAGAGTGGGGTTGATCAGGGCTATGGGGGGAGAGTGGGCAGTGGGGTTGATCAGGGCTATGGGGAGAGAGCGGGGGAGTGGGGTTGAATTGGAAGCTCTTTTCAAAGAGCCGATGCAGACACGATGGGCCGAATGACCTTCTGTGCTGAGTAATTCTATGAATCTATGATTCTTTTTCACTTACTATGCTCCTCGGTAGATCCCATGAAATGGTTGAGACGTTCTAACAAATTGTTAAGGAGTTATTATATCAAATAATAATAATAATTGCATTTGATACAGTGCCTTATCACATCTTCTAAACATCTCAAAGCACTTCACAGAATATACTGTAAAGTAAATTGACTACATTTTGTGGGCAAAACGCAGCAACCAATTACCAATGGCATAAGCCAATTGAGCACAGCGATGTTCCACAAACTGTCATGGATTAAAGCGATTATTACCCCCAGAAACATGATCTGTCAATTGACTCACAACTGGGTTCCTACTTACTGATGGTAAACAGAGGCGTGTGGAACAAAGAAACTTGCCCTGCCAGGAATCGAACCCAGGTCTTTGGCTTGTGAGGCAAGTGCTCTAACAACTGAGCTACAGGACTCCATGAAGAGTCAGGTTCTGAAAATTGTATATAATTACAAATGATTGAGACTCTTCTTTGTAAAGATCTCCAGGTTTAGAGTGCTGCCCAGGCTGGAAGCAACGTGGTGGAGACTGCCCTATAGGTGAGTGAATTATTAATGATTATTCTACAGTCAATAACTGTGTGTGTGTGCACATTGCCTCATTGTCATCTCCTCTGCAGCTCTCTGTGAAGGAAACTTCTCCTGTAAAGCGAATGAAATCTGTGTCCGACCCAACGAATGTCGGTGTCGTCATGGATACTTTGGGGCTAACTGCAAGACCAGTGAGTAAACCTTTAATCATTAGCCTTGACACAGTCACATAGCAAATGGCCATCCAGTGTATCAACAGTGATGCCCAGTCACAGAGCGAGTAACCCGCATGTGTGTGTGTGCACGATTGTGTATATGTGTGTGTGTATCTGTTCATGTCTGTCTGTGTGTGTGTGTGTGTGTGTGCCTGTATGTGTGCTAGTGTGTGTACCTGTGTGTTGTTAGTATTTGGAGAGGCTTCCCTGTTCCAAATAACATTAACTAATGAACAACCTGACAATCCCACTTGGGTGTAACCAAGGTTTATTTAACATAAGCAGAATTATTAATACAACAGGTATTTCCAACAATTCTTACAGAATCAAAACCATATTACCCGGTTCTTGAGTCTGGATAGTAGAGCAACAAGTAAAGCTGCCTTTTTTTCTCTCTGTCTCTCCTGCTGCCTCCACGGCCTCAAGTCTAATCCTAGCCCTATTTTTATAGCATTAATAGCATGATGCTTTGCATAAGTGTTGCCCCTGTTCACATGCTTTCTCGCCTTCCCCGAATTATATGTTTTTCAAGTGCTTGTTTGTTATCTTGCTTTAGTGTTACTGCAAAAACTCCATCCATGACTTACCTTAGGGTCACAAGGCCTGATAACTTCTCAATTCTCTTGTCCCAGAGCACCAGTTCCTCATATGGTCTTGTTATCATCACATTCATCCTGTGCCCCTCGCCTGAGACCTTGCAGCTTATTGTCTGTTCAGCCACCAAGCAAACTGTTCTACAAACAACTTAAACATAACTATTAATCATCAAACATCAGACATGATAGTCCATTATGTGTCTAACCTGCTGAACAACAACTTAACGTACTACTGCTATTTAAAGAAGCATTTAACCCATACCCCATTCACGTGACATACAGACAGAGAGAAATATTAAATAAATAACATAACCCTTAGTACTATTCTGGTAGGTTCCAACAGTGTGTGTGCCTGTATGTGTGAGTGTGTGTGTATGTGTGTGTGTTTGCCTGTGTGTGTGTATCCATGTGCATGGTCATTTCCAGTGGTGGTGTGTAACAGGAGGTGGTTTTGCAGAGTGTCCAGCACAGTTCTGGGGTCCAGACTGTAAGGAGATGTGCAACTGTTACCCGAATGGACGCTGCCAGGATGTAACTGGGAAATGCACATGTAATGCCAACCGCTGGGGCCCCCAGTGTCAGAACATATGTCGCTGTTCCCATGGTCGGTGCCAGCAGGACAGCGGCAAATGCAAGTGTGACCCGTACTGGTGGGGCAACCAGTGCTCAAACATCTGCTCCTGCAGCTTCACCTCCCAATGTGACCCGAGCACAGGCCAGTGTACGTGCCAGCCCGGCTGGTGGGGCCGCAGCTGTAACAACCAGTGCTCCTGCAACAACTCTCCCTGTGAACAAATGACGGGCCGGTGCCAGTGCCAGGACAGGCAGTGGGGGCAGCACTGTGAGCACCAATGCCAGTGTGTGCATGGCAAGTGTAACAACATCAATGGATCCTGTGCATGTCATCCAGGCTACAGAGGCAAGTACTGCCAAGAGGCCTGCCCTGCTGGATTCTTTGGCCTCGGGTGTAGAAAGAGGTGAGTCTCACTGAAGGCGACGGGGGGAGGGCTCGGGGGTGGGGGGAGGACTCGGGGGTCGGGGGAGAGAACGGGGGTCTTGTTGGCGGGTGGCGTTGTTATACGGCTGGTGCAGTTTGCAGGCAGGGCACCAGGAATCTCAGCAGAACTCTTTACTGGTCTGTTGGTCTTTCGTTAATAAATGCAGTTCCAGACTGACTCAGTGGCACTGCAGGAAGGAATGTTATTGCACCCATTCAGCCTGAGAGATATTGCTGTATTCCAGCACAGTGACACAGTGACACAGATATCCTGGAGTCTATATCACTGCTATATCACTGTTGGTACCCAAGCCTTCAGTGACTGTAGGTGGCCTAAGGGTGTCAGAAGGAAAGAAAAATGTGACAATCACCATCGGCCTCCCCTAGTTTGACGTGCTTGCAAGGAGTCAGCAAAATAAAAGTGGCTTCCAGGGGAAAAGCTGATACTTCCAGTAGCAGCACATTGATCAACCAGTTGGGGTACATTCAAGTTCACTTCACAGGTCCAAAACATCATGGGATATGGACTCAAGAAAGGACTGTGAAGTATCTATTTCCAGCCAAATAATTTCAAACTTGTTGAAAGAAAATCTGAAGTTGCACTTTAGATCCAATCATTTGGGATAACATATCCAATAAATAGCTAAAATACTGGCAAATACAAACTGAGGAGGTGCTGTTTCTGTTTGTATTGAGAAACAGTTTTCCTAATGGTGACTTTCTTAAAATATATTTTTCAATAATTTACAAGTTTCCATTTCTCCTACCCTCCCTTTGCCTTCACAAGGTCATTTGGTACCATTGTCAATGTTTATAATACTAATAATCCTTACATTTGATATAGCATGATAAGGCGCAAAATCAAATGCAAAGATTATTATTATTATTATTATTATTTGATAGAGGGCCTTATCACGTCTTCGAGACGTCTCAAAGCTTTTCCCAGAATATACTGCAAAGTGAATTGACAGTATATTTTGTAGCCAAAACACGCAGCCAATTGCATACAATAGTGTCCCACAAACAGTCATGGATTGAATGACCAAATTATTATTAATATTATCTTATTATTATTTTTGAAGGGACTATTAGGAAGTATAAAATGGTAAAGACTATTTTTATTACAAGCTATGAAGTGACATTTTAAATTTAGATCAAAATTAATAATAAATTCCTTAATTTATTAAAA